AGGGGAGCTCGTAATTCACGGTGGCTACTATGACTTTGTTGACTGTAGTTTCGAGAAGTGGACTCTCGAGAACAACTCTCAAGTGGATGATCAAGTCTCCATCAAGAACCGGGAATTTTGGAGCTGAGTAATTCTTCCTAGTCCTTTATTTGTTTTGTTGTATCATTTTTTACTTGTAATACAAAACTCAATTGTTATTCTTGTTGACAAACTAAATGTTGTATAAAGTGTGGACACTATCAGCCACTTGTATTGAAGAAAATGATAATTTTCTACATTCAATTTGTTCTGCTTCTATCATTTTACCCAGAAAAATGATATATTCTTCTGCAATAATGTGAAATGAACCCAGTCCATATCCCTGATTGGTGTTCGTGTACATCGACCCCACAAAGGTAGGGGTAAGGTCTGTGCACGCCCCATTCTCTTCAGATTCTACTTATGACACTATACTGAATTTGTTATTGTTGTCTGTGTACGTTGACCAATGAAAAATAAGATGAGAAAATCTTAGGTACTGTAACTTTGTTAAAAAATTGGAAGTACATTTGGAAAGAGTTGCTACTAGGAAGCAAGTGACCTTTTTGTTTAGAACTTGTGATTGATCTGTCAGATAGTTATGTTTTATAAAGTATTCTTTAACTTGACTTTAGTTATTATTTATGCTTTATAACTTTGGGTTTGTCCAAGTAAACACTTAAATCTGTATAAAATTGAATACGTAGATACACTCTAATTGATTTCTATTATTATGTGTAGGGTGCATATTATGTCATGTAGGACGTGTGATTCTACTTGTTCAATTTTATACTAGTTTAAGTGTTTATTTAGGCACACACAAAGTTGAAGGTCATAAATGTCAGTTGAGGCAAAATTAAAAGGCACATTTACGAAGGATCAGAAAGTTAAAAAATCCATTTTCAAGGTCATTACATGTGATTTCCCGAGTTTTATAAAATCGTGTCAAGTAGAATCCTTCTTATTGGTGTATCGTCCGTCGACACTTAAATGGAGGAGAGGCTATAAGGATACTTAGAAACATGATATCCATGGACCATGGTATAGTACTATACTTGTATAGCCTGGGCCTATAAGCTTTTTTTGGGATAATGGGCCGTTGCCATTTGACGGTGATTTGCGTGCAGATTTTATCACTATCTTGTAGAGTTAGAGAGTTTGTTTTCGAAAGTTTTGGGTCAAGTGCATCATACTCAAGTAAAAGAAGAAGAAGAAGAAGAAGAAAACAATGGATAAAGCATAATAGTTAAAAAGAAAAGCAATGTAAAGTCTACTCAAAATAATAACAATAATAAAATAATGTGATACTCAAAACACAATAAACAACATATGACAAGTCCCAACTACAAGAGTACGACTAGTATTTTGACAGACATCTCCACTCATTCCTATCTAGAGTCATGTCTTCGATAATATGAAGTTGCAACATGTCTTGTTTAATAATCAACACCATCCCCAATCGAGGAAATTCACACGCTGGTTGTTACCATCATCAATCGCTGTATAATTTTTTATTTAAATTAAATTTTGACGGTATAATATTGGATAAATTTAGTCTTTTATTTAAATTTTATATCAATTATTTTTCAAATGAAGACAAACCATCTTAATTTTTAAATATTCGGATATTAACACAACATCTTAATATTCAGATTCAATCATCTAAATCTTAATACACAATTTTACTACATATCTCAATTCATATATCTTAATCTTAATAAAAATAAATAATGTTATTTTTGACATTTAACATACATAATTAACTAAATTTACCCCACCCCGACCCAAAGCCTTTTTTCTTTCTCAATCTAACTAGAAGAAACTAGATTTGTTGTTCAATCAATTCTTTGAAGGGTGAGTATTACTCCATCTATTCCTAATTACTTGTTCATTTTTAAATTGACACACCTATTAAGAAAACAATTAATGACATAGTGTGTTTACCATTTTACCCCTATTAATTATGAAGTGGATGAAAAGTTATACATTTTTCAAGGTAATTAGTCATTTAATTGAGGGTATAATAGGTAAAAAGAATTTGTCTTTTCTTGATTTGTCAAAATGGACAAGTAATTAGGGATAACTATAAAAGAAAAAGTAGACAAGTAATTAGGAACAGATGGAGTACTAAACAAGGCAAAAACACTGACCCTTCGAACTTGATTGGTTACTATCATACTACATAATGACCAAAAATTAAATTAATGGCCAAAAAAGGGTTGACTTTTGTGAAAAATCCCACCAATATTTGGTCACGGACTAATTGGAATTTTGCTAATAGAAAAATGAAACAATTAATTTTTTTTTTGGCATTATTATTTTTTAACAGCTCCACCTTTCATGTTCAGTCAACCCATATTTTGTCTCTCTTTAAAAAAAAAAACATACAAATAAGTCACCATCCAAAAAAAAACTACCCCCACATTAATAGGGCTTTTCCAAGAATCATCATCATGGGGACTCTAAAAATAAAAGTCAACTACATATAGAAACAAAATTTTACCTGACTTTGAAGCAAACCACCATGTTGGATCCATATGGGGTTGACTCTAACACATGAAAAAAAAATGAATAAAATATTGATTTGATTGTTTGTAGTTGAGACGAGTATTCAAAATTTGAACTTGATTGATACGACTTTTAAAGTCGTGTGAAAAAAATACTGAATTTGGATGAATGATGACCCTTATGTATTAGTAACTTGTAAATTTTGTTAGGCTAGAAGAAATATCATAAAATTTTTAGAATCTTATCTCCCAAATCTTTATGTATGCTATGTACAATGGATTAGGTTTTAAGTTGTAAAGTGATATAAAAGGTAGAGTGATTTTTGTGTTATAAAATTAAGTTAAGTGACTTTTTGAGATAATTATCATTAATCGATCAATATTTCTATTACTTTCTGGAAAAAAATTATTAGTTAAATGTCGATACAAAAACTAAACTCTAATTTTAGGAGAATCTTAAGTTGTGTCTATTCTTTGTAATGACTCATAAGTTAAAATATATTTTATGTTTATTAACATGAATCTAAATTGACTTTCTTAGTGATTTGAATCTAATTCCGATCCTTCATACATATCTATAGAGAGACTTTTTTTCTATATTTGAAAAAAAAAAAAGCATAATTAGGAAATTAGGACATTTGTGAGTGTGCAAATTATAAGGAACAAAATATGGCGACGTGTGCATCTAATGTTTTGATTGGATTCTCAACAATTTTGTGTAGAAAAGATATGGATTATATTCTAATCAAATCATCATAGATTATTTATAAAAGAATAATGAACAATTTGACCCCTCCACTTTCACATTAATATTATATTCCAAAAGGTTAAAATGAATGGAATTGCAAATGTACGTGTATGCAATATATATGTCCATTATTGTGTGATAATATTTTGTTTTATAAAATACAATTAAACATGTTTTATTCTGTTTCTTAAAGATCCCAATGCATGAATAGGAATAAATAAATAAATTAAAAGACTAATCAATAATTAGAGTAAGTATTTTTGGAACCATCACAAATAACATGCTCTAAAATTGACAAATGTTAGTTTCAAATTGATTAATCAAACAAAAATGATTACTTTCTTCAAAAAACACTTCCCCAACTAACTGGATTGAAAACTTGGTCAAGTAGACTAAGACTATGAATTTGAATATATTTATGTCGGACGTAGTTTCACAAATATGAATCCTGCAAAAAATTTTATTTAGTTTTTTTCAATGTTCCACCCTTATAATGAAAGAGTTAGATATCCCTCCAACCTATATATATAAAAAAAATTCTCAATTATTTTGATTTTTGAGAAAGAATGAGTTATTTGAGCAAGTGATTCCTTATTCCACCTGCTTTTGGATAAAGAAATTGAACCTCCACTTTAACCTCAATTATTGTCATATTAGTTAATTTTAACAAAAATTTCAACTGCCCATGAAATGAGAACCTTTCCTAAAATGGATAATATATATATATATTAAGAACCAAATATTTTTGTTCCAATTATTAATTTAAGTATTACAAGTGAGTAGCATCTTTTCAAATCCTTCTTTAGTGGTTGACTCTTGTTCACATATCTACCGAATACAAGTCATGGTTCAGGTGGCATAGGTCCCAAAAGTCTATGTTCGATTTTCATATTGGAGTCTTGATTAATTTGAACTCGCGCTTTGTAGGGTTTAGTCCTGAAGACGGCGCTTCCAATAAGATTTTTCCATTTTCAAAGCTCGGACCTAATACCTCTGATTAAGAATGGAGAAATCTCAATCATCTCATCACAATCCAGATTGGTAGGTCCATATTTATTTAAAGCACCCTAGTAGGACAAATATACAAGATAGAAAAATTAGATAATTCAGAATATTTTTTTTACAATTTAATATCTTCAATAAACAATTGTGACAGTAGTTCAACTGCAGTGCCAAGATTTCTATTAATTTAAATTTATACAAAAGAAAAAGAATATTACAAATAGGATATAGAGCAGAATTTCTGCATGAGCATACCATTTGACAGAAAAGTATTCTTCCATTTTTAATTAGATCAGATCTCGTGTTCGAGCTCTGAAATAGAGTCATATTTGTAGGAAGTGTTTTATACCGTAAAGTGATATATTTTGATGCAAATTTGAATTAATCCGCCAAATTAATTAAAAAGGAAAAAAAACTGTCACTAGCTGAGTAAACTGGGTCTTGATATTTTATTGTATATTATTAATTTGAAAGAAAGTTCAAGCTAATCTGAAATAATACAATATATTCTTGTGCTTAGAATTAACACATTTTAACATATTATATTATACATAAGAATTGAAAATATTCCCATGTATTGTACAATTGACACTTAGTAGTCAATGTATTTCACTTTATTTTTTAAAAAAATAAATAGATTCTACATACCTTATCCCTTTAAATTATAAATATGTACACATAAAGCATCAACTACCAATAATACTTTATATCACAAAACAAAAAAAACATCAAGAACTTTGATTTTTCTTCATCTACTCCACTCTCCCTTCACCTTTTTCCTCAAAATTCTTTAAAATCCCTCATAATTGTTACCAAAAAAATCTAGCAAATTAATTAAAATATAGTCATTGTAGTGAAAATGTTAATGGAGAAATATTCATGGTCTTATGAAGATGAGTTGATAAAAGAACTTCTTGATGATGAATCACCATTCTTTTTAGCACCTCAACATGACTCAACAACTTCTTCAAGTGATAATTATTATTCACTTGATGTAACAAAGAGCTCTATTTCTTCACTTTCCTCATGGCCTAACAATATTCATGATGATATAGAGAGTGGTTTGTCTATGACAAGTAATGGAGTACTTCAATCTCATGATGCTAGGTTTGAATTTTCTCTCTTGATGTTTTTAGTTTTATAAGTTCTATACATTGACAGTGTAAAAAAATTATTTATGTTCGATCTCTATAATAAGCTAATACTTGTTTGCTTTCCCATCCGCATTGGAAAGTTTCACTTTGGGAGATAAAGTCTTCCTACTAAATGTGATTATTTCCAAGATTTTAATCCTAAAGTCTTTGAATAAGAATATATGAAGGGGAACTCTGACCTCCTATAACATGTTAAATTACTCTAAGAGTGTAAACAAATTTTATATAACTTGTGTTCTTTAGGCTAGTTAACTTTTTCTTGTTCTTTTTGTATACTAGATTAGAGCAAATATTGTCTTGTTTTTTTGTTTTCCTTTGCAATGAAATTGAATTTTGTTCATATTAATGCAGGAATTTAGGGTTGGGAAGAGGGTTAGACATGATGATAAATAAGCATGAGCCTCATGAGGCTAAATATACATTGAGAATACAGAGTTGTGGTAATGCAATGGCTGATGATGGTTATAAGTGGAGAAAATATGGCCAAAAATCCATTAAGAATAGCCCATATCCAAGGTATAATATATATGCTCATTTATACCTATTTAATTTTTGCCTCATTTTAGTCATTTTTTATTTTGAAGTTCAATTATTTTTGTCAGCCTTAACTTCAATCTTACATGCATGAACTTCGAACAAAAATGAATGAAGTCGGGCAAAAACAGATGTCAAACTATGTACATTAAGAAAAAAGTTGACCAAGATTCAAATAAAAATGACCGAAATGAGAAAACATGACTAATCATCAGCGGTCAACCATATGAAACTTTAGACATGTGACTAAAGTTATGTCAAAACCTACTTCTATATCTGAAGTGAATCCATATATAATCTTTTTGTTTAAACATGATAAAAATTAAATGACTGCGTCAAAATCGGATATTCATGCACCTCCACCCCCAAAAAAAATATTATTTCTATTGTTTTTTGATGTTATTGAATTGATTTCAACAGGAGCTACTACAAATGCACTAATCCAAGGTGTGGAGCCAAAAAACAAGTTGAGAGGTCCAGTGATGAGCCCAACACTTTCATAATAACTTATGAAGGCCTTCATCTACATTTTGCTTACCCATTTATCACTCTTGATCCACCTCAATCTCTTAATCAGCCCAATAAAAAGCCCAAAGTAACAAATTCAAAAGCCCATATCTATGAATCTGAAAACACAAGTGAAGTTGATGAAAGCCCAATACTTGTCAACCCAGGCCCAATTGTTGAACTTGAACAAGGATTGGGCCTTGATATAACGGGCTCACAAGGATTGGGCTTTGATGAAATGGGCTCACAAGGATTGGGCTTTGATGGAATGGGCTCACAAGGGTTACTTGAAGATATGGTGCCATTAATGGTTAGAAACCCATCTATTAATAAGACCACAAACTCATATTCTTCATCTTGCTCTTACTCATCTCCACCAACTTCTCCTTCATTTTCTTGGTCAAATAATTAGTGTTTTTTTTTACTAGTAAATTATTGTATGTATGATATTTATAGACTATATATTGTTGTAGGGAAATAATTATATGGCGATTTTAGCTAAATAAATTGTAGGTGAAAACCTTGTAAAATTCGTTACATGGACTCACTTGTCCTAAATCAATAGAAAAAAGGATTTTCACACGGTACCAGGCACGTCAAAATAATAGTAGATAAATGTATATTTCTTTAAAATATATAAATGATAGTATACATATAATATACATATTTAGTGTATACTTTTTTTACAAATTGACTAATGGATATAGTTGTTTTGGCTGAGCGGACAAATATTATCAAAATAAACGTAAATAAGAAAAGTATAATTTCACTTCCCCATCATCACAAATTTCAATAGTTATGTTCTTATATTTTATCTTTTTTGAGGTTTTTTCTTTTTTGGTTCTATCAAACTAGTGGTTAACATTTGAGGGCAGATATTAAAAATGACTATTTATTGATCTTCCTCCCTTCAAAGATCCATCAATGATAGCCAATAGATTTGAAAAAAAAAGGATAATCACGAATTAGAATTATTCGATCATCTACTTTTCAAAATATGTACAAAGTATATAGGTTGTGTACAATGACGAAGTCACGAATTTTACCAAAAAGTGGTCAAATTTGGAATAATAAATATATTTAATCTCTATACACCACATAATTTTTCGACAAAGAGTATGCACCAGACCACCTTAGCCTAATGTGGCTCCGCCCTATACTTCATACTAAATATATAAGTTATACACATGATATATCTATTTACTTATATACACTAAATAATGTTTATATTATGATATTTCAGTCACGATGGTAAATTAGTTGGCCGAGTAGTATATATCCGTAACTCTCCCTACAAAAATTGGGCCCAAATGAGTCCAGCTTCCATCATTTGGACCTCATTACAAACTTGTGGCCTATCCTACAACCACATAGAAAAAAACTCCAAGGACCAAATTACCCCTTAACACCTAGCAAACTACTCTTTTCGTCCTAATTGTGACACATTTCGAATTTTCGAGATTCAAACAAGTCTATCTCTTATGGTAATTTTTTCATATATTTTTTAAATATTTTAAATTGTCAATTATTGTGACCCATAGTACTTTCTATATAGTTTATAAATATATAAATTTTATTTCAAAAAAATTAAAAATTTCATTCGCAAAATTCTGCAAAACCTAAAGAAAGTAATTTCCCTTCCAAGGTCAAATAAGTAAATTCACGTAGTAACCATGGCATTCCTTTCCCGGTTTCCCTGTTACCCAAACTTCTCTGATTCTGCAATTTCTTCGACCTTAACAATAGCTCCAAATGCAAAAAATCTTATAAATCTGTGAAAATTAAACTTCGTTTTGCTAATTTCTCGTCGATATTAACAATCGATTTACCTTAAAGGATCCGTTTTTCAGAATCGATTTCTAAGGATTTGAAATTGTTGAAAAGGAAATTCATGTTAAGGAAATCACCAAAAAAATGATGCTTTCACGTATTAGCCGCTCCATATCTAAGGCTTCTCGTTCCAGCATTCACAAAGTAAGCTCTCTGTTCATGTATTAATGCTATTGATGAAGGTGTGTTTTTTTTTTTTTTTTTTGAAATTGATAATTTTGTGATTGTTTTTCGTTATGTTTAGGGTGTTGGATATGGAGTGAGGTCGGCGGTGTTGGATGAAGTGGCAACCGGCGGCGCGTGCATTACACGCGTTGATGGCGGGTTAGGGTTTGTGAGAACGTATTTGACGTTGATTGGAGGTGGAAGGAAAGGTTTGAGTAAGGCGTATTTGTCGGAGCTCGATTCGGTTTTGGCAAGTCCTAGGCTTAGGAGGTTTTTCTGTAGCGAAGGGCCAAAGAGAAGAAGTGAGAATTGATTGAATAATTGAGCTTTTTGATGAAGTATAGATTTTTGTTTGGTTTTCAATGCTTATTTGTCGAATGTTGTGTTTTTGTAGACTATGAGAATTATTATCCAAAGAACAAGAAAGAAATTCCCAAAGCAAATAATAATCAAAAGGCCGAGTCGGGCAAAGGTATGATAATGCATTGTTTTATGTGTTTTGGTAAATGCATGGATTATGTTTAAACCAACAACTAGGCGTCAATCTCAGTTGAAGTCGCCTATGTTGATCCCCTGTAGCCATTCTGCTTCATTTTGAAGTTCTAATTGTGTATTGATGATACAGCAGGGAGATGCAATTTATGTAAGAAATTGGTTGTAGAATTATATGAAAAATATATAGGAGAAACAAATGTTCTCCTGTTTAAAGCTTTATTTCTGGGTTGTGTACAATGAACATTCTTGCTTTGGTTTGTGTTGTTGCAGAGGAAGGTTCAGGTGAGCAAGGAAATCCTCAGGAGAACTTCATTAAGCTAAACTACAATATACTAGCACCCTTATTATTTATTGGGTTTATTCTGTCATCTATCCTCATGTCTCCTCGAGAGCAGCAGGAGGTTAGTGCTTAAACAGAGTTTTTTTCTCCCATGTCGATCTTGTCATTCCAGCTCCCCCCTAACCCCTCCCACCCCCACCCACACACACAAAAAAAAACCCTTTTGCTTTTTACTAGAAGTGGATGAGTTTAGGGCCTATAAGAAGAATTGATCTTAAACATTTCAATATATATGTGAAGACCAATTTTACCTCTACATTAATTGTAATGGAAACAAAAACACAGTCAGCCACCTGTAAGATAATTAGTCACATATATTTAAAATCCCCTTTTATGACTATTGAACATTTGCAGTTAAAATTTTCACAGTTAATATGATTTTTCTTGTTTAATTTGATGAGTCGTAATGGAAAATGATTAGGAATGGATGACTTTGTTAGGTTGAGTCATTACACGGGAACATTTGCTTGTAGATACCGGATAGTAATATGGGGAGTCGTAACCTTTTCTAGATATTGGATTGTTGGTCTAATTGTTAAAAGGAAAACAATTTTCCTGTCTGCAATTATTACATTTATATGTCTTAGTTACTATATGGAGAGTGAAAGGTTATTCTCACTGACCAGACTTTTTCCTAATACTTCCAAAATATTTGAATTGTTAACTATTGTGATTTATAGTACTTTTTATTTGCTTCTAATATGTAAAAAAAATTGAAAAAGAAAATTCTATGTCTGATTACAACACTGAACATTAGCTAGTTTGATCCTCGTCCTCCAAATCAAGCTACATAAATTGAAATAGAAGGAGTAACATTTATGGAAGACTTGATCATGTTTTCCATTATGGTCTTTTTGGTAATATAAAAACTTGGGTTCTTATATGATACATAGACTTTATGTTCCTATTTCATATTACTATCTGTTTTTATGTTAACAAATCCAAATTCGGTTGTTGTCTAGCATAGAGTTTATAACACATGTCAGAACAAGTATCATTTCTATTATCCTATTGACGACAAGTTTTGGCATGAGGTAATGGCCCTGCGTCGCACTAGCTTGTAAGTTGCCTAATTGTTGAATGAGCATAGAAGAATCAAAATGAATCTCAGTGCTTATTCTACTTCATACAACCATTCACCACTTTCCTAGAGCTCACTTCTGTTGCTGATATGTTCTTACTCAAACATATATTTTGATGAAGAGTCTTTCTTAGTATAACGATATAACTCTGAATTTATGAAACCATGCGCCTTTTTCCATATATGTATTGTTTAACTGATGAGATGAGTAAAACTGGTGCGAATATAATTAAAGGGGCAGTTCTCTTATCTTCAGTTATTGGTTGTCTTCTGTAACTTGCTTCTCTTTCTTCTCACAGCAACTTTCCTAAATTACATTTTCAGATTAGCTTCCAAGAGTTCAAAAACAAGCTACTTGAAGCTGGTCTTGTTGATAGGATTGTTGTTACTAACAAATCTGTAGCCAAAGTTTATGTGAGAAGCTCTGCACCTGGTCCTGATCAAATTGGTGACGACTCTATTCAAGGTCCTGTAGCTGGTAGAAATGATAGAAGAAATACGAGCCAGTACAAATATTACTTTAACATTGGGAGTGTCGAGTCATTCGAGGAGAAGCTTGAAGAAGCACAGGAGGCATTAAGAATAGATCCTCATAATTATGTTCCTGTTACATATGTTGATGAACTGAATTGGTTCCAAGAAGTGATGAGGTTTGGTCCAACAGTGTTGCTTCTTGCTGTCCTTTATTTTATGGGACGTAGAGTGCAGGGTGGGATGGGTGTTGGAGGCCCTGGTGGAAAAGGTGGTCGTGGAATATTTAACATTGGCAAAGCGCATTTCACAAAGATGGATAAAAATGCCAAGAATAAGGTGAGTCTAAGTTTCTAACCATGCACGTTTCAAACTTGGGTGCAGATTCAGAATTATTGATAGTGTTTTTAAAATCTATATCTTCATGCCATGATATTTCATGATTAATTCTTGGAAAGTCTGTTGACATGTCCTTGGTACAGGTCTTCTTTAAAGATGTGGCTGGATGTGACGAGGCAAAGCAAGAAATCATGGAGTTCGTTCACTTCCTTAAAAACCCGAAGAAATATGAGCTGTTGGGAGCCAAAATTCCGAAGGGTGCTCTTCTAGTGGGTCCTCCTGGGACTGGGAAGACACTTCTGGCCAAAGCTACAGCAGGAGAGTCTGGTGTACCTTTTCTCTCTATTTCTGGATCAGATTTTATGGAGATGTTTGTTGGCGTTGGACCAGCCAGAGTAAGGAGCTTATTTCAGGAGGCAAGGCAGTGTGCACCTAGTATAATTTTCATTGATGAGATTGATGCCATTGGTCGAGCAAGAGGACGAGGTGGCTTTTCAGGAGGACATGATGAACGTGAAAGTACTTTAAATCAACTGCTTGTTGAAATGGACGGTTTTGCCACCACATCTGGCGTGGTTATACTTGCTGGCACAAATAGACCTGATATATTAGACAAAGCCTTGTTAAGACCCGGTCGATTTGATCGTCAAATTACCATAGACAAACCAGACATAAAAGGCCGTGATCAGATATTCAGGATCTATTTGAGCAAGTTGAAACTT